GTAGATTAGAATTAGTGTATAAAGATTTGTGTGTAGCTCATAGAAACTGTCTGCTTGGTGCTCAACTTTTGTAGAAGTTGTAAACAGAAATTGTGTTTGATAGATTGAGAAGCTTTAAACTCATTTTTATGCTTTTAAACTCAAGTAGATTTTATTTTTTAAACTCAATTTGGTAACTTGCAGTCTAGTTTAAAATTTACTAGTGTGTATCATATGGTTGTTAGAGTTATGTGTTTGGTAGGTTGCCTTGATGTTTATGTTGAACTGTCTTCCTAACTCAATTCATTTTTAGGTTCCAATTACATATGTTATTAGTGCCTATTTAGGTCATTTACACATGTTGTTGTTTACCTAATAATTTCTAATTTGTTGTGATTAGATGAGTTAAGTATGTTATGATTAGATGAATACGTACCATAGAGCAGTTGATAATTTGTTTTCTCTACGATCTGTACTTATGTTTTGGTGTTATTATTGGTGACATTATTGCTAATTGGCAGTCTTGGTGTTTATACTTGCAGGTTTGGCACTGATAACGCTCCAAGAAGGGTTATTGTTGCAGCGATCAAGTGACATTTTAATGGATCGTGGTTCAACATTAGATCTGACCTAATGAAACCATAATTCAATGTTGGGGCGAATTTTTCGTAAGTGTGATCCAAACTTTCTGATTGTGATCCTTCTGTAACTTATAACAAATATTTCAGTTTCCTTTTAACAAGTTATGTTCATATGCAGCAAGCCTTCTACTGGGTGCCAGCACATGCAGCAATGGTATACAACTTTTGGCACAACATAAGTGCAGCCAGGCTTAGAGGCATGGTCTCTACGGCCAAGGGTAATAACCAAATACCGGATTGGATCAGTTTGGATATCTGGTACGCAATGTGGGTGTATTGGAACACTGAGAGAACGCAGACTAGGAGTCGAATAACTGCTGAAAACCGAATGTCTAACCGTGATGGATTAGGCCTTCATGCTCACACATCAGGCGCTAGTTCTTTTAACCAAGTTAGAGACCTCATAATAAGT